GTTGCCAAGGGGTGGGAGGGAAGAGGGGGCGGTGAACGAACTGGAAGCTGGGGCACCATTGTCCCGTTGTTGTTGTTGTTGTTGTTGCTCAGGCAGTCCTTGAGGTCCAGCTCCGACGAGACCAGCTGGCCCGTTGGCTTTGCAGATGGTCTGGAGCCGGCTTGGTTCTTCCCCGAAGTTGTCGCGGCCCAAGCCGCAGATTTCGCAGTTGGCGAGGCTGTTTGGGTCGGCGGTTACGAGTATGCCTAGGAGAGCGACGAGGATGGCTGTGATTGTTGGGTTCATGGCTTTTGCTCTGTCTATCTGTCTGTGTATTTGGTTTGGTTGAGAGGCTTCTGGCTGTGCTTCTGGTGGTTGAGTGAGGGCTGCCGGTGTGATGATTTTGTTCTGGGAAAACTCAAATTGATGTTCGTGTGATAGAGGGCGGCTTCTTCTAGCCTGAGGCTTGATGCACTTGTGAATAGCAGTCCATCAACAGTTCAGCCATTGCTGCTGCATCACGGAGATGACTGCCGGTTTTTGTTCACAGATATCTAGGGGCGGGCAATCAACTGTAGTTAACCGGGCTGCGTTACTCCCACACAAATGTTTCCATTTCACAAACGCTTACCTGGTAAGTAGGTAGGTAAGTGATTATCCGCATCGTTGGACTCAACTGCCGGTTTAGTTACCCTTGGAGTCAACTGCTGAATCCACCCTCTCCGGACCAGCAGTCATCATAACCACGAACAGCCATCGTTTCTCGCCAACTAGTGTTCGCATGTCACATCCTCGCCCAGCCACTTGCCGCCGAAGCAGCCCAGGAGTCCATCAAGGTTGTCCAACAATGTCGTCTGGATGAGCAGACCTCATTAGCATATGGTCAACCCCCGAACACAGAGACCGAGGGAGGAGCAGTAACGCAACGCTGGTCTGTCGCACTGAGACTGATACGAGTGTAGTCCCGGATCTGGTCCCGGGTCTTGCAGACACACTGCATGTAAGCCTTGTTGTCGCCGTCGACGGTGGGCAGAGAGAGGCACGCGTAGCACGTGTCGGCGAAGAGACCCCTGGGCAAGAAAGACAGACACAAATAATTAGTTAAGAGTCCAAGGGGATGGGCATGTCATCTCACGGGTCTTGGGCCTTGAGGGTCCCGTTGTCGTTTCCGATGCAGTAGTTGAGGTCCAGCGACGAGATTCTGGTGATCCCCGACTCTTCCGTGTCGCAGTCTGCAACGATCCTGTGGCCGCCAAAAACGGATTCGGAATTGCACAGTCGGCATGAAGCCAGGAAGTCGGCCATGGCTTGGGGGACGGCCAGGACGGTCGTCACCATGGCACCAACGACGATGCGCATGTTTGCGTCTGCTGTTTGGTTGTGTTGTTCCTACCAGGTACTTATCTAGCATGTAACGTGGGATAGTGTATGCCCATTAGTGAAGTATGAGTATCCAGAAATATGCCTCGCGAGGAGAAGCTCTTTGTTGATTTGCCATGCCACTGCACTGCCATCTGCAGCTATCCGGACATCCCGCCTACTACCGGGTAACTCTCTCGGCCCGCTCAACAGAATTGCGTCTTTTGCTTGACAAACATGACCTCAGGTAACTGGCGGAAGGGTAGGATAGCTGCGGAAAGCTGAGCATCGTCAAGCACTGGCAGGCTGCCGTGGCCTTGTCCTACCACCCTCAACCCAGCCGCCCCTTTTTTTTTCTTCATTTGCTTGAAAAGAAAACTACCAAAGCTCTCCGAAATGACCGCAGCGTTCAGTCTCCTCCAAAAAGAATTATCAACAGATGAGCCCCGGCCAACAGCTAGGCTAGATCTTCGGCTCCAGGCGGATTGAGCTTGGGACAGGTGTCGACCGATGTCGCCGAGGTGCTTCATGCTGAAGCAGACTATATACCCGCCCAGCTTTTCCAGCACCGGGTCCAGGTTGGTGAACACGTTGACCATGTTGCCGTTGAGGTCTGGGCAGCTGCACCGCATCGTGGCGTTGACGTTCTGCTGCGGCAGGGAGCACTGGCGGCAGTTGCCCACGGTGGTGAAGTTGCCCCTGGTTAATTATCCAGACACGGTTGTTAGCAACGGACAGATGAATGATAGTACTTGGGGAAGGTAGGTACTGAAACAGCAAGACTCACCACTCCTGGAGACTGAGGATCTGCTTGTCCGGGTCCCAGCCGAGGCAGCGGTTGAGGTCCAACGCCGTGATCTGAAATGTCGGCAGGTTGAGGCCGCTGCTGACGTCGACGACGGGACAGATGGTCGTGACGGTGGCGTTTCGCAGGTCCAGGTCGATGCCGACGACGGCGCCGATGTTGGGTCCGTGGGCACTCATCTCGTCGCTGATGATATCGTCTGGCCTGGCGAGCCTGGCGATTTTGGGTGATTTTGGTGTTGCTGGTGTCGTGCCCCGGGGTCGTTGTAGATGCCGACGTTGTCGCCGGCGCAGATGTCGCACTCGGGACCTAAACTCGCCGACTGCGCGCGATGCTAGGCCGAGAAAGGCGGTGATGAGGATCGAGAGGGTAGGCATTGGATGAGTTTCGTCTGGTTTATTATGTGAGGGTGTTGTGATGGCCGGGGTATCTTTGCTGGAATTTGCATGCAAATGGGGGCAATGTAAAACATCCGGCGGTTTGAAAGTGATCCTATCGTACATGTATTTACAGCCCACTGGTGAGAGCTGTGGGGTGCGCAGCTTGCCCCAAGATACATCCCCTTGGGTAATAATAACTAGCCCGTCCGGACCAGATCCTGTGCAATTGTTGGTCGTGCTCCTGAGGTTGCCGGCATGAGACCTGCGATAGAGATGAGATTCGTGTCTTGAACTCACCATGAAGTGACGCACAAGAAACATAGGCACCTTAGCTAGTGAAGGAGCAGGACGTTTCGTGGAGGATGCTAGAAGAGAAATCATGGCGGTGATGCATGTACACGAGCGACCAACACGCCCTTCATGCAAGCTTGAAATCTCATTCAAAGCAACGCACAGCTCGCGCCCCCGTTGGCCAGAGAACATATCATCAGACGTTCATCTGCTTCAGAAGCACTAGTGATAGATCCAGAACGGGATGAAGTCTTGTCATTGGGACCCCCCGCAGAGACATTACGCGCCCGATCGCCATTTCGCTTGCGGAGATCGATGCCGATGAAGGTCTCGTTGATGGTCGCGTCGGTGCTGTTGGTTCTGCCGCTGAGGTCGTCGCCGGCACAGACGTCGCAGCCACCGTGTCGGAAGGCACCCGCCGCCGTCGATACCAAGCTCATCACGGTGACGATGAAGAGAAGGGCCGCGGTGTACATATTGCGTGTTGGTATTGCAATAGTAGTGGACGTGGAATCCTCGAAACAAGATGGCTATGGGATGCCGCTCGCGGTTGGAGGTGGTGATGTTGGAAGGGGATAGAGAGCCAGAGGTCTTTTTATTTGTCAGTGGACCTTCCGTTATAGGTATCAAAGCACTTATACTCGAAGGGGGAGGGAGGCCGACAGGAGGACGGCATGAGACATCTGTGCAGTACTCACTCTCTTTGGGAAGAGGTCACTGTTGCTGAGCGCCTAGCAGTTTTGGCGCATATTTGAGGCTAGCCATTGCCCCTGAATCTTTATTTTTCTTCGAGTTCTTTTGGGCGGAAAATTTGAGATCCTGTCACAGAACTTGAAGCATTTCGCAACCACCATCCGCCAATAATCCGGGATATCAATGCGTGGTACACTGCTACGTGACGCAGGTTCAAGACTGTGGGCCAAAGAGCGTGACAGGCAAGACGTCGGATGATCGCCGTGACTGCTGAACCACTGGTCACAAGGAGGACTTTCAGACCTTCATCCAGTTGGTTTGAGATCCGTATTGGGTGCGCAACGGGATGAAGTTTTCCTTACAGGTAGTGGTACCGGGCCTCACCAGCAGATGGATGACACCCGAAGCAGGTGTCCAAACCAGCAGACATTATTAGTCAAAACAGGGAGAGAGATACACTGAGCTCATGCTGCTCTGCCGGGCAAAGACATATAACGTTATATATATATATATCTGAGGTGGGCACCCTTACCTCCCCCCATGTTCTGCTAGTTCGCTTTCCCGACATCGATATGTTAACCTCTTGCGTTCACATCTGCCACAATCATCACCTCCCTCGATAGGTAGAAACACACACATCATCATATACCTTTGCCCCACGCACAGCGGGGAAAATGCTTATAACGTTAAGTCCTTTTGTCTTCTTCATGTCTGCACTCGTAATCCAGATACAGGGTCCACTCGTGGCCGGCGAATTTCTGAAAAGCTGCGAGGTCTGCACCGACATGCAGCGGTGTTTATTTTGACGGCTGACTTTTGGATCTCGTCTTTCTGATTTCTCTGCACAGGGGCAACTTCACGTTGGGCGACGAACAGAACCGCGACACCAGCGCATACTAGTTGCCCAGAGGCGACGTTAGTCCACCACTGATCTTAGTTGGTGATGGTCATAACCGTCCGGGCAAAGACAAGAAGAGCGGCACGACGAACCACCCCGTCACCAGCATTCAACACCCCTCCCTTGGTTTTCACCACCCTTCATTATCCCAAGCAGGTTCTCGGGGGCCTCTAATTGTATATCGTTTCTGACTTCTGACATTTGCAACCCTCCACGTGCCTAATTGCCTCGCTCTTGTCACGGTCCTTGAAGGCGTAGAAGCTCGGTGCATGCTATGGCAGCCGTCCATTCCCAAGCAAGCCGATGCAAAAAAAAAAAAAAAAAAAAAGGAGAACAGAAACACGTCACTGTTTCTTGATGATTAGAAGAGTCGCGGGCCGGATTTGAACCGACGCTCCCGAAAGAACAAGATTTCTAGTCTTGCGCATTAGACCACTCTGCCACCGCGACTTGATTTTCTTCTTGAACACACCCTGCCTGCTCCTTGCTATGCCGCCACGACGAGCCGAGCATCGGGTAAAATATCACATGTCCCGGGAAGGGACATGAGCGGAGCAAAAAGAAGAAAGTGTGTGAACATTACTGCTCACATCGCTGCGACCGAAGGGAATCGAACCCCTCCCTCAACCTTGGAAGGGTTGAATCCTAACCACTAGACCACGGTCGCAAAGGACAAAGGATAACAACACTGGACGGGCTGGGAATCGAACCCAGGACCTTTCGCAGGAATTTCGAAGGCAGGGTGGAAGAAGGAAGATGTGAAATCTCCTCCTCGATTTTCTGCTCGAATATGCTAAGCGAACGCTCTACCAACTGAGCCACACGCCCTGTCTTGTTGTTGTTGTTGTTGTTGAGGAGCTGTCGGCTAGTTTTGGATGTCAATGGGACCCTGGCATCCTGGTGAGAGTTTTTTTCTTCACCTTTTTTTCGCCGAGTGGAGCGGGTTCGGTGCGGGTTCGGTGGATTGGGGACTCGGGCCGGGATAGGCTTGTTCGGCCTGGGTTGCAACACCTAGCTGAGCGGGTCTTGGAAACCTCCAGTGGAGCAAATGCCACCCACCAACTGCCCAACTCAGAGAGTTGTGGGGATTGCGGTGTGTGGTGGTGGATGTCGGCGCATCTCAGGGGGAAAGGGGGTTTGTTATCATCTGGCAGAATGGGGGTTAGGGATGAGTGTGAGATAATGAACATAAACCAAATGTCATTTATCAAAGTGACCAGCAAAATGTGCCCAGGCTCGGACTTCATTACTATTTAGCCCAAGACTTGTTTTCCAACTCTTCTCACTGCTATCTTCCTTGAGGCGGTTAGCTTCCTGCCATCACCACCAACGCCGATGCGAGAAACGAAATGACAATGACTTACCAGCAAAGGACCGTGACCATGTGCCTCGGTCTATCTTATGGTTCTGGGCAACTATCCACCTCTTGTGCTGAGTATTGCGTGTCAACACACCACAGGGAAGCTGGAGTGCCCTGCTGCCCTTTTTCATGCGGAGTTTCTTGCGTGAATTGGACGACGTCGTCCTCATTCAAAATTTCTTGCCGTCAGCTTCATGTCGAACGAACAAACAACTGCACGCGGGAGGGGTGGCTTACCGAGCTTGAGCCCCATAAACATGGCTTCGGGCTTATCCGCGTCACGTTGAGTCGCACAGATGCATATGACGGGAGCCCCGTCAAGTGTGAGGTCGACATGGCAAATGACGCAGCCACGGCTGTGCTCGTCGCCGATCGTGAAGTTGCCCCTGACCAGGCCATGAGAAACCAGACTATCATTTGCGAGTGCATCCAAGGACAGAAACAAGACTCACATTGCCGCGGCCCCCAGTGTTCCATTTCATTTTCTGGCGATGCATTGGTTCAGGTCCAGGGTGTAGGTCTTGTAGACCTGCAGGTTGTTATCCGCCTGGTGACGCTTTGCAGTGAACTCGCCCCGGTGGACGCCGCCAAGGTGTTGGATGTCCCACCCGCTCTTGTCGGTGCAGACTATGCAGGTGTCGAGAAAAGTCCCGGTTGTGCTCTGGTGCGAAACGAGCAAGATTGCTACGCTAACCGCCAGATGACTGGCGCGCATGTTGTGTGGCTATTAGGCAGGGAAAAGGGCGATATGTAGAGTATATTCGAAGCGCCCTCGATGGGTGCAGATGTGGGATGTGGATGCCAAAATCAAGTTACCTGGATATATATCCCCACCAATCGACCAAGATGAGTGAAGCAGGTGCACCTCGTTTTCTGTTTTGACGCAGAAGATTGTTCCTGAGAATCGAGATATGAACTCCGCGTCATCCACCAGCTGTGGTCTCAGGGCACCGATTGTCTCGTCAAGTGAAACCTCATCCTATCAACACCTAGTTTCAACATCAACCCCAACGAGGGCGCCTGAGTCTTTTTTGTGGCCAACGGGTCGGGTAAGTTGACTGTTCTATGACACAGCACCAATAGGCAGCAGGCAGCATCTCTTCTTCTAGTTTGTTCTGTCATATTATCAACAGTGCCGCGTTCAATAAAATCCGACTGCGACTCCCGATGCTGATATTTTTCATGATGACTTTGGTGTGAGCAGATGCTGTCAAATTCAAACAAAAGGGGTATGATTAATGGGTTGGAGGTATCTTCCCGCAGCGATCGTCGACGCCGATGCAGAGTCGCAATGGAGATGGGAGATCTGGTCATGGTCGTCTAATGCCAACGTAAGCACAATCTTTTGGCCCCAGCCGATGACAAGTTTCCGGGAGCAGTCAGATGGAAGGGCGATGGAAGGGCAATGGAAGGACAACGGAAGGGCAATGGAAGCCCACATGGCACAAGGCAGACTCGCGTATCGTGCACTGCCTTGCTGCGTTCTCGTAGCTGCAATTATTTGATTTGTGCTGTCGGGGTGGCGCTCTCGGCGGTTCTCTCGAGTGGGGGCTAGGAAGCAACGTAGCGTGATAACGATTTCCAATGGCATGCATGTGGATCAAGTGCAGTCCAGCACCGACTTATCACAGTCGACGCTTCCAAGCGCGACCGGTAAAGGACATAAGACCAGACGGGAGGCGGTGACTAGGAACTTAGTCATACGCTGTTACACCACAACTGTCGGGACTTGGCTGGGTCAATGCTCGTTGCTGCTCGTTTGGCAGGTGCATGAAAAAGACGGGAAGACAATCAGCGCCTTGAACTTCGAATCCACATTCACGGGCAGCAACAGCACAGCACCAGCACAGCGCAGCACGGGCGCGTGGCGCAGCACAAAAGGCGAGCGCTGCAAGCTGCACTGCTGACTGGCCACGCAACGACGTGCTGTAGTTACGCATCTTGGCACCTTGGGCAGATCTTGGCTCAGCTCCAGGCAATGGCGGAGGATGGACGCCAACACGGTCTCCACTAGGCACGAAACAGCGCAACGCGCACAGAGGCGGGATCCTTCTTGCTTGGCTCCTTCCGTGGCTGCTCCTCCCGTCAGCCCTACGAGATTGAGGATTTGAGATGGAGGCGTTGGAGGCCCTCCCGCCCACCCTAGCCGTCACCCCAAGAAGTCTCTGGGCCGCCGTCATATAATGCAGCTTCCCCAGATCCCAGCATTCTCGAGGCAGACTAGGAGGCAATGAAAGCTGCCAGACCCTGTCCAGCTGGGAGACCACCCGCCCAATCATCAAGCTCAACTCGACGTGGACATCTTTCGCCACCATGGGTAGCCCAGCTTCATTCACAAGACTCCCAACAAGTCTCCCAACAAGTCTCCAACCCGGGCCTCGGCGGCTCTTTTCCAGGTTCGAGCTCGTGCTGCTGGTTACCATCATCCTGTTCGCAGCTACCAACGGCATCTATGCCGTCGTCTACATTCTCAAGCATCCCGGGACCCAGGTAGCAGCCGTTGCTGGTCTAGCTGGAGCCGTCTTGTTGCTGCTCGGCGCGGCCATCGTCGTCTACCTCCGTGTACGAGCAACGCATGGGCGTGGTGATATCGAGTCGGGCAATGCAAAACAATGGAGAATCTCGGTACCTATTCCACTCCCGCCCGCAAAGGCGGAACTGGAGGGGGAATACACCTACCTCCCACAGCAGAGCCCGTATGATCATATCCAGCTGCCGAAATCATACCGCGCAGTCACCAAGACGCCCAAGAAGGATGGCTATGGCTTCCTTTCCTTCTGGACCTCACGGAAATCAAAGACAGAGGCGATACAGGAGGACCGTGAATTCCTCATCCCGAGCGAGCGACCATGGACCGACATGAGCGAGGACCAGTTCAGCCTGGCCTCCAAAGATGGAATGACGGGCTCGCTTTGGACATCCATCTTTGAGCTAGCGGGCGAGGCCGGGTCCGAACAGCAACGTCGCGCCCATTCCCAGCGGAAAAGCAGGAGGATCAGCAGGGCGGACGAGTCCAGCGAGGTGAAGATTGTCATCACCAAGCCGGAGCCGACAGCCTCTCCGCTTCCATCCCCGAGCCGACCCCAGCCTTCAGCCAGCGTCAACCACCCACCAACAGGCCGAAACAGGCTGACCGCCGCCGACGGGCTCCGTTCCCACCCGGTGTATTTCCACCGAGACCCCAGCGTGCGAAAGACAAAGAGCACCCAGACCCTCGCGTCGACCTCGAAATTTCTCGCGCCTCCCGAGACACTCCCCCAGCGACCACGCACGGCCGAGCCGGGCCCCGACAAGCCCCGGCTGGCGAACGGTTTGATACCTCTCCAGCTGGGCCGCGACCGAGACATTGCGGACGACACCGCCGGGTCCAGGTGGAAGGTGCTCTCTGCACCCACACGAGCAGCACTGCAGTCGCAGACTGAGACTCGCACCCAAGCACTTGCCTCTCAGGCGGCGCACGCCCGGGCTCTTCGAAGGGCGAAGAATCTCGTTCCCGTCGGGACGAGTGATCAGGACCTCCGCATGGTTTATCGGAGCGGAGCCTGATGGAATTATGTATGGATATTGGCATGGATTTTGCCAACGAGGCCAAGGCGAAGGCCATATTGGATGGAGGATTGGACATGGCTTTGATACCCCTTTGCTGGATGGATGCAATTTATGAATAATGAATGATTTATGAGATACTTTATGATATATAGACCTTTATGAATGGATATGAGCGATTTCAAGCTGCTTTGACTCCTTCCCTGGTTACTTTGTGCGTGTGAATGAGTTTCTGACTTCTGTTTTTCTCTCAGCCTATCTTGCGGAGTAAATCCAGGAGTTTCATGCAACTAATCGGTTTCTCTTGCAATAAAGATGCCCAGATAAATAACGAGATTTTTACGTGTTCGATTGTTGCGCAAGGTGCTCGATCACGTCATGTCAATCCTGATCTCGAGTGCCCAAGTTAGATGGAGTAATGTTCGTCCAGAGTTTCCATTCAGGAAGAAGCAATTGGGAACAAGTGGAGTTTTCTGACCCGCCCGCACGAGAACTGTCGTATAAGCCCGAGGGTTAGGGTTGTTCAGGACCGCTAGTGGGAGCCCCGTGCTATGCACGCGATGAGCTGATGCGCTTGCAGGGTTCGGGGTGCTGGCCAACGATTTGGCGCTTGGAAAATTTCCAACATTTCTGGCGACGCGAGCCGACGCATCCATCCGTGAACTTTCTCTCCATACACCCGTCCACCCATCCATCCATCCATCCATCAATCCATCCATCCGCCTGCCGCCTGACGCAGTCAACCACCATCTCGTCCTCCCACCGTCGATATCCACCCTCGTCATCAACTGCATCCCGTCATTCAAGATGTAGGTTACTCCCCAATGGATTGGTTTTGGCCTCTCAGCCCCGTGGAGCCCTCCACTGACGCGGACTTTGCAATGCAGGCAGTCCATCCGTCGTGCCGCCCTCAGATCTGCCT